TTTGAAAGGTGATCTCAAATAAAAAATTTATTGATAAGATACAAAGATATTCCAGACAATGCGGATTAATCTTTCACATATTCAATCGAGAAAAGCATATATTATTCAACTGAGGCATCAATTGAAATTAGTTGTGACAGGCTTGAAGATATACTTTGAATATATGCTTTGACGAATTTTAATTGATCAAATAAAATTATTACTTCCAAAGAAGAAACGATACCCGTCTGATACAATAACTATGTCTTTCATATTATGCACTCTTTCTCCCTGTGCTCATGATTCAATGCGGAATTACTTCAAGTTTCCGACAAGCAGACATCTTCAATATTTGTCTGTGTTGCCCCCAGTGTTTCAGCTCGCGATAAAAACACAAAAAACTATTTGACTTATGTCTCTGAGTCTTTGAAACCTCATTAAAATTATTGTTCTAAATAAATGAAATATTCATCAATGAAATACTAGATTATAGAGGAGATAGTTTGATTGTTGTCGCTTGTAATGACCATTCGTTAGCCACAACAATTTCGGGGTTCATGATTTCTTCAACTTTTGTTAATTTCTCAGAAGTGGTAAAATTATTACCAGTTCACAATATATATAGTTCAGAAATGACATCAATCACAAAAAATATTAGTACATCGGTACAAAATTCTGGTTTCATTGTTTGGGTATTATAACCGATAAACAACGAATACATAACAGATGGCTATTCACAAATCTAACTGACAAGAAGTCATTCTTTCCAAATCCAGACGTTCCTTAAAACAGACTATTTGTTAGCAATTATTCTGTACATTTATTCAAAAATATTACTAATAACTGGAAAAATTTTAAAAATTTAGATAATGCTTTTTTCTTATATCCTAGTTTTGAAAAATTTGAACAGTTAATGTACGCGAACTTTCAGTTCATTGAAAATCTCTACATGAAAGAAGAGTATATGGTAATAAAGAAGGTGTACAATCTGAATCACAAAACTGTTCATCCAAATAAGCTTGAAAAGCAAAAAGTGTATTTAGCTGATAATATCTCTGATTATTCCACAATTTTGTCTCTAAAAGAACTAGGATATTATTACACTGTTGACATTTTAGAAATTATAAGGCGTTGGTGGAATACTATGAATAAAACAAGTGTCATCAAAACCATCAGAAAAAATCAGAAAAATAATAAATACTATCAGATGATTTTCAAATCAAGTTTTCAAATAAGAAACTCGATAACAATGGCAAATTAACGAATGACACCTGTTCTGACCTTCGTCACAGTAATTCGGTATTTTTGGAGGTAGAAGAGAATACCTTATTACCTACAAAACAATACTCTATTATTTTTCAAAACGTTTGAGATATCTTATATCTACCTGGAAAATTCACTACCGAAAAATTAGAGAACAGCTTCGGTAAATATAGGCTGTTGGGCGGTTCTAATTATAATGTCAGTGTCGACGAAGTTGTAAATCCTGAAAAGAAAATTCGACGCCTACATGTATTCGCGGATGCATCAAGGAACGATTTTCACTTTCAGATATACAAAAAAGGACAGCCAATTTTTTTATGAGACTTTGAATGTCCCAAAAATGCGGAATGTGGCGAGTTTACTTTCTTCAACTACGAATTATTCAAGAGAATGTGAGAAAGATGAATCAGCTCAAATATATATATATATATATATATATATATATATATATATATATATATATATATATATATATATATATATATATATATATATATATATATATATATATATATATATATATATATATATATATATATATATATATATATATATATATATATATATATATATATATATATATATATATATATATATATATATCCGGTTATGCCTCACACCATATATCAATAAAAGTAGAATGTAACATCTGCATCTCGCTTGTTACTGAAAGAATAGGAAAGACTGATAATGAATATTTTGATTATTTGCAACGAGGAAGACTGAATATACCTACAGATTTAGTTCAATGTCCTATTTCACATGTGTGCCATATTTGAGAAAATCATTCATGGCATTTCTCTCGAACGGGCTTTTTTGAATTAATATACACCTGAAAGCAATTTTGTGTAATCTCACCATTTTAAGTGCGTCGATGATGAGTCCTTGAAAGATTTTTATTATTATCGTGTATATGGTGAAGACAATGAAAATATTCTGAACATACTGTGTTGTATTCAACTACACAAAAAAATTAAGGAAACGATAATTGGGCGCCATCCAAAGATAACTTCGAGCAAGGAAAAAAGGAAACTTTATTTGATGTACATATTTGCATCTTAAATAGATACATTAATTGAATAGCTCAAAGGGAAAATTCACATAACAAATGGAAACTCAAGATGCCAAAATTATCATTCAAAAAAAAACTATTTGATACACACCGATTTATCATTACAAAATTCATAGTGAATGTTCATAACAGCAGATTATCAGGCAACCAGATATGCAAGAGTTCCGGTTGAACTAAAACATGCAAAGTCTCGAACTTCCTCGATAATAATAGGTACGCCAAAAAATTTTATACGGTAAATAAGAAAAGGATAGGTACAAAATAGAAGAAAGGAATAAATATCAATTGTCCTATATCAATACATCAAAAATGAGAAAAAGATAAAAGGTATATCATAGTGAATAATGCAGTATAGGAATATGGAAAAAATATCAATCTGTTGAAACTTCTCTGTTTGCGCGTTGTCCTTGTGCATAAAGGATTCTCTTCTGTACATATTCATATAAATCGGGCAGCTCTTCCGGTACACAAGGATTTGAAACCTCGTTTTTTTTTTAAATTATATTATCTGAATGTTCCAATTTATGGCCAAAGGAACCACCAACAGTGGATACATTTATGAGAAAACATAAGATGAGGGAGAAATCTGGTGTCTTACTCATTTAAAAGCTTGCGCTATTTCATCAATATTCTGATCCAATTATTTATGATTATCTTGGATGAATGATCTGATTGCCGTCATAATTCTCTAATTCACTTTTTCAGTGGTAAGGAAAATTTACTCTTTCACTTGAAGAAAATTTCTATTGTTGTACCAAATCTTGAGTATATTGTAGTTTTAAACCGAATTCTCAAGTTCGTTAGAGGTGAACTGTAAAAAGTTATCTGCAACAAAAATTGAGAGTACTCCAAATATAAAGAAAACTTGATTTTCAATGAATTTACAAATGGCTTCAGGGGTGATCCCATACAACAGGTGAACTAAAAACAACTTTGTGAACCAATTAGTTGAATCTTAAACATACTGATTATTATTCTTATCTCAGGTAAGGTACTAATAAATCAGCTGATATCAATTGGGTGATCCCATACAACGGGTGAACTGAAAACAACTTTGTGAACCAATCAGATGAATCTTAAAAATACTGATAATTATTCTTATCTCAGGTAAGGTACTAATAAATCAGCTGATATCATTTGGAAAAGGGGTGATCTCATACAACTGGTGAACTAAAAACAACGTTGTGAACCAATCAGTTGAATCTTAAAAATACTGATAATTATTCTTATCTCAGGTAAGGTACTAATAAATCAGCTGATATCAATTGGAAAGGTGATTGATGTTTCTATAGTTGCCTATAAAACCAGCTGGAGTACAGGATGCTCAATTTTCCATTCACTTCCATGATCCGATAACTTTGATCCACATATTATATGTTTGGAACATTACCCACAACCTTAATATCAGGGTAGAGATGTGAACTTCTGGATACTTCATTTAACATCTCATGATTCTATCCGGTTTGAGTGTTGATAAATTTATAACTTTTTTTTTTAGGCTTGAGGAATACCAGATAAAAAGTGGGTAACATTCATAAGCACTCCAGAATGTTGACCTAGCTCGAATGCATGACTCGACAGTTTCATGGCCCATCTGGCTGTCCTGGGTAATGGATCTTTCATCGTGCCCACACAAACGAGACTGCAATAATCTGTAAACATAGTCACATATGTGGCCTCGATATAAGGACGAAAACATTCAAGAAGAAGTTTATAAAAAGAATTTTTTTTTGTAGTGGTATACTTCTTTCGACATTTATTCGGAATTTGACTGAGATTATCTACAGGATGCTCTACACCGTCCCTCTCTTGAAACAAAACACCTCCTACGCCAACAAAAGATGCATACCAAGTCAAGAAGAACCTTTTTGAAAACTCAGGAATAGCTGAGATTGGTGTTGTTGATGCTAACTCGAGGTTTTTGAAAGCGTCCTTCGCCTCCTTTGTCCAGATTACCGACTGTCCTTTTTTGTGGCATTTCAATAAATAGCTCACACATGGCCAGAAGTGAATTATGTAGAAAAAACGGACGATTATTAAAACAAAATAGACATCTACCCTACACACAAAAAGCCGTCTTCGTTGTAGATTCTTCATGATTTTCAAATATTTCTTCATATACAATATGTCCGTACGTGTATGGTAAGCACTAATAATATTCACTTCAATTTAATCTCATGTTCATTAACGAAAAAATTCAATAATACATCTGGGAGGATGGAAAGGTGTTTACTCACGTTCGTGCAGTTTGAAGACGACAACCCGTGCTTCGATGACTGGCTTGCGAACAAAAGAGTAATTAGATATAGTCGGAATTGCATCGCGAAGTAGTAGACCTCGGTAGCTAGAGTAACAGTAACAGTAGGTAGAGCAACAGGGCGTAAACCTGAGAGACCTGGGTTCGTATCCCAGTCGAGGTTGAAAACTTTTGTGGTGTAATTTCGATTCCAAATTTAAAATATTTCTTCATATACAATATGTCCGTACGTGTATGGTAAGCACGAATAATATTCACTTCAATTTGATCTCATGTTCATTAACGAAAAAATTCAAATATACATCTGGGAGGATGGGAAGGTGTTTACTCACGTTCGTGCAGTTTGAAGACGACAACCCGTGCGTCGATGACTGGCTTGCGAACAAAAGAGTAATTAGATATAGTCGGAATTGCATCGCGAAGTAGTAGACCTCGGTAGCTAGAGTAACAGTAACAGTAGGTAGAGCAACAGGGCGTAAACCTGAGAGACCTGGGTTCGTATCCCAGTCGAGGTTGAAAAACTTTTGTGGTGTAATTTCGATTCCAAATTTAAAATATTTCTTCATATACAATATGTCCGTACGTGTATGGTAAGCACGAATAATATTCACTTCTATATATATATATATATATATATATATATATATATATATATATATATATATATATATATATATATATATATATATATATATATATATCATCATCATCAACCTCTGTCGGACCCCTGCAGAACGAAGGTTTCTCCCTCTCTTTGCAAAGATTTCCTATCGACAGTCTCCCTCTTTCAGGCAACGCCAGGCCAATCCACAATCTCCTTATCTCATCGATTTTGAGGTCGTTTTCTTGGTATTACCCTATCTCTGGGCTCCTAATTACCAACCACAGATGATCAACGCTCATCTCTTGTTCGGGCTAGATGGCCTACCCAAATCCACTTTGACCTTTTCACACACTCCACAACATTTTTCACCTTTGTTTGACCTCTTATCCTGCTGCAGCGTATTCTATATCATATGATCAGGCCCATCATGTATCTTTCTATGCTCCGCTAGGTTGTTCAAAGTTTCAAAGTTGGATGTGAGCAGATTTCAGAGCAGAGTTCAGAGTTTCGCTGGCGCAGGTCATGCCTGGTAATACGCATTCGTTGAATACTTTGCTCTTTAAAGATAGTGGCATATCTGATTTGAAGATGTGTTTCAGTCGGCCAACCGTACTCCAAGATGTTTTGGTTCTTCGCATGATCTCCGGTGTGATATCCCTGTTTCCCATGACAGTCTGTCGCAAATATGTGTAAGACGTTGATATTTCTAATGGGGATCCGTCCACCTCTATTTGCTATATATCTATAATTGGTTAAAACATCACCTCTCAACTATTTATATAGATAAAACGAAATACATTCCTTTTGATGTAGATCAGCGCTTACTTCCACCAAGTGAACCACTGATAATTAAAATAGCAGAAAAGACATTTAACATTCCTTGCACCTACGAATGCAAATACTTGGGAATTATACTGGATTCGCACCTTAAATGGGATTCTTACGTCTAAAGCTTAATTGGTAAACTTAGAGGATTAATATCCTAATTTGAAGAACTGTCAAATATTCTGGACATAAAATATCTAACAATAATTTACAAAGCACTCTGATACGATATGATATCGTTGCGTGGGGTGATGCCTATGATAGTGTAATACAAAAGCTCGAAATTCAACAATATGGACGTTCTATATAAAGATGCTTACAGGCTGGATATACGACAGCTGTTTGTTCAATCACTGCTAATCTCCACGAAAAAGAAAACAGACAGTTGTTACTTCCTAGATCATAGCGTGAATACCAGATATGGCAGAAACTCTTTATCAATTCCGCAATAAAGTAAATCTATATGTCTTCGTAGCTACTCCTATTTGGTACCAGTACCAAATTTCTTTCACGTAGCTGAAATTGCATGAATTCTGTTTTATGCAAGTTTAATATTGAGAAATTTTTGAAACACCAATCCGAAAATTTTTGGACGAGTCTCTCGCATTTCAACTTGAGTTCTTCAACTGTCCGAGCAGACACCGCTAAAGAAGTGTAATCCGCGAATAAGGTTATGAAGTCAGCATCAATGTGATCAGGCACATCATTGATTAATGACAAAAAAGATGAAGGGACCAAATACAGAACCTTGAGGCACTCCTATAGCCAGAGTATAATTTCTTGATTTGGCCATATTGTTCACTACAAACAAATTGCGGTGCGACAAAAAACTTGATATCCAGTTCAGAAATACACCTCTAAACGCCATACTATACATTTTATCAGTTATAAAATTGATCTGCAAGCAATCCAGGCGATAGGTCAAAACATAAGCCTGCCACACAGGAGCCATCGGACAGACAGCCGTGTACAAATTCAATGAAATTACACACAGCAGGCTGGGTTGGTTTACCACTGCGAAAACCATGCTGGCAGCTAGAAATGATGGAGTATTGATTGAGGAAGTTCAACATACGACCAGAAACCTCCTTCTCGAACACTTTCTATGAAATACTTAGTACAGAAATGGGCCGACAGTTAGCTATGTCAGTTATATCGTTTTTTTTTTGTGTACCGGAATCCGGAATGACCTTGGCTGTTTTCAAGACTGATGGAAATTCACCTGATGATACCGATTTATTGAATGAATTTGCAAGGTGTCTCGAAATAAATGGAGCTGTAGCTTCAGAATCCGTAAATTTTTTATGACATTTATGATTTCATCTGCCTGAATCCGATAAAAATAGAAGTTGTTACCAGATAACTTGTGAGACGAACATGACTTGGACCGTGAATCTCCGTAATACTTTTGTAAAGAGAGTGTACACGAGGATGAAAAATAGTGACCAAATTTCTCAGCAACTAATGTGGGATCTGAAAAAGAATAATATCAATATCTAGAACAATATCCCTCGAGTTCTGCCTTGTGTGCCCCGTCTCAGTAGCAACAATGTTTCAAACAGTTCTATTTTGGTTGTTGGACTCATATAGAGTATTTTCAAAAAATTCAAATTTACGAGACTTCAGAGATTGGATATACTGTTTTTTCGAATATTTATATGCGCTCCGAACTTCCGCAGTTTTTAAGTTAACACTTAGCCCGTGCCGATTCTTCAGTTCATTTGCTGGTACTAAAATTTCGGAAGTAATCCAACTTCTGTTACGAGAAGTAGATATCTGATACATATCTGATTGCACAGCTTGTGTCGACTAGAGAAGGTGAGATTTCAAAGAATTTAGCAAAGCTCGTATCAATATCCGAGTCGAGGTATATGAAAATATACCTTGAAATATATCGAAATCAGGTTTACTTACTAGAAAGCTGAATAACTCTAAATTATCTTCTGACAGCGCTCGATAAGATCGGGAGGTAGAATCCTTTGACCTGGTGATATGATGTTCAATGGTGTAGTTAAGTAGCAGGCACCTATGATCACCAATGCCAGCGTCGAATACCGATGTTCGGTGGAGATGTTGGTCAACATTAGAAAGGATATAATCAACTTTTGTGGATCACGTGACATCATTTTTGTTTGTGAACACTCTGGTGGCTTCGAGATATGTTATATTCAGATTGAAGCTGATGAGATAGTTTGCGATAGTCCCTTTCCGCGAAGTAGTCGATATTTAGGTCACCACATACGAATGCAGTATCGAATGCAGATGAACAATATAAGCATAGGTGAATATGTTTATAAACTTATTGAAATCACCAGAAGGAGGTCTGTACACAATGAAAACAGACAACTTAGAATTACTAGTTTTCAAAACTACACCACATATTTCACAATGCATTTCAGTAGCGATATTGTCGATACATTTGATATGATGAAACTCATAGTTGCATTTTACATAAATCGATGTTCCTCCATGTTGACGGGATTTCCGACAGTAGAAGACACCAATATTCTATGATTTCAGTATTGATCCTCCATTCATCAATTTTCTAGAGCGTAATATAGATGATAGTGATGATAGTTTGTGGATAACACAATAACAAATCATAAAAACAAAGTCTTTTGTGTAACGATTTATTCGAATCGAAATCGAATTTGTGTTATGTTTTGAGTACGGATTACTTACAGTGTAGAGCAGGGGTTCTCAATCTTTCTCAAAGACTGTACTCCTTAGTGAAGTATTACATTTCTGCGTACCCCTTCGTTATTGAAAAGGTGGTGTGTTAAATTAAAAACACGTTTTTACATAATAAACACAATATATTTAAAACACATTACGTACCCCCTGAAATTTTTCGCGTACCCCTTGGGGGTACGCGTACCACAGTTTGAGAACCACTGGTGTAGAGGATAGGTATTCCGTAGATGATTCAGTAAGTTTCAAACTTGAAATAGGTAAGTTTCCAATAAGTATATTCTCTTGAAATGACGAAAACTTGTTGATTCCTGCTTGTAAATCGAATTATAACAGCACCCTGCGGGCGGATGAGCAACTAGTATCGACTTTCAGTTTCCCTAAAAAATAATTTTCAAATAGTAAATGGATGAAATGTATACCAGAAGATAATTCGGCTCCAACAAAATATTCAGTTGTTCCTGAAACTGATATAATCAGGGAAGAGGAATTTAGAGGACAGTACTTACAGTTGTTAGACGGTTCCAATTATAATGTTAGTGTCGACGAAGTTTTAAATGCTGAAAATAAAATTCGACTTGATCATGTATTCGCGAAAGCATCAAGGAATGAATTTTCACTTTCAGATATACAAAAAAGAACAGCAAATGTTGATGAGACTGATATTGACTTTGACTGTCCCCGAAATGCGGAATGTGACGAGTGTACTTTTATTTCAACTACGAATTATTTGAGAGAATTTGAAATAGATGAATCAGCTCAAATATATATATATATATATATATATATATATATATATATATATATATATATATATATATATATATATATATATATATATATATATATATATATATATATATATATATATATATATATATATATATATATATCCGGTTATGCCTCACATAAAATATCCAAAAAAGCACAATGTAACATCTGTATCTAGCTTGTTACTGAAAGTATAGAAAATTGGACTGATAATGAATATTTCAATTATTTTCAACGGGGAGTATTGAATATACTTACAGATTCAGTGAAAAATGTCCTATTTGACATGTCTGCCATATTTGAAAAAATTATTGATGACATTTCTCTCGAACGGGTGGGCTTTATCGAAAAAATCGTTGTTTTCTTGCAATAATGAATGTTTCACATTTTTTGGTTACAGAAATATGTGCTCACAGAGCCAATATAATATTCTATATGTTAAAAGTACGAATAATATTTGTTATTCGTTCGCAATATACAAAAAGAGTTGACAGAATTACTCCGCAACTTTTCTGACAAAATAATATCATTCTTTTTCATTTCGTTATTCAATTCCAGCAATAAATTTTTTTCTCGTTTAAGGCACAGAATTTCCATCTTCAATATCCTTAGGCAAATCAACGC